TCCACAAGCAGTTTCATCCCCTTTCTAATAGTGAGACATTTTACTATTTTAGAATAGCATCTCAGAACCATTATAATGCAGTCATATCTTGACACTCAACTACTTCAAAACTCTTCAAATTTGGTATTCAATGCATTTTGAAGCAGAAATCTTGTCCCAGTACTCATATTTCTCCCAGTATTCTACACGTAAGGAAGAACTTCCTGACATAGGCTGCCTCGTGACTCACTATTTCTTCTGGCCGAAATAGTCAGATGGTAAGTTGTGGTTTTCTCAGTACCTGTTAATTTTTTTAGTATTCATCACATCTTCCGGAACGAATTACTGACGAATATTGAGGTACCGCTGTACTGTGATATAATAAATGATATAGTTAAAGTCATTTGTATAATTTATTTAATTTTAATTTTTAAAAATCATTTAAACTTCTTGCCTTCATGCGAAAGAAAAGAGTTTAGTATGAGTCATATGGAGACATCTTTTATTAACTACTACTCCTGCTGTATCTCCTTGGAATGTTGTTATGCAGGTTTCTCCCATATAGGTCTGGAATTAGTGGATTTCAAGCCATAATATTGTTTCCTGTTTATAATTCATGTTCTTCCTAAACAAATGTACAAAGTGATTGCATTAACAATTAAAACTTTACTTACAAATAATTAAAAGCTTTAATACTGCCTAGGGGCATATGGTAAACTACTTGTCCCATGGTTAATGTGATACCTACTTGAAGCTACAGCATTTGTAAAACACGAACTTCTTCGTGCTATGAAAGTATACAAGCATGCTAAGCAAAATTATTTATTGGACTTGGAAAGTGGTTAGATGGCAAGATGGTGAACAAAGCAAAAATTGAGACAGGGAGAGCAGTAAAAAATGGAAAAATTCTGCAATTATGACACATGGCTTGTATAGCTGTACTTAGTAGAAATTGGATGAAATATGGGTGGGGGTGAAAATGTGTAGAAGTTAATACTGTTTCATGTTGTATCAACATTCTCATACAGTGAGCTAGAGTGATTATGGTTTCTCAGGTATGGAATGTAAAATGCTAATTTTCTTTTGAGTTACTCATCAATTAGTGTTTATTAACAGACATTCAGAAAAAGAAAAGTTCCTGATCCTATAAATTTCTGCATATTAGAATAACATGCCTTTTCCGAACATAGCACACAGTTGCTTTGACATAGTCTGCTTATGATTACTCAGCAGTAACTTAGATTTGTGTTCAGAGATCATTTATATTTCCAAGATTTTCATACAGGATCTAATATTCCTGATATGAACCCTGTTTCAGAATAAAGCTGCTTCTTTGTGTATCATAATTCCTTTTCATTTAATAAAAGAGATATATACCTGGCGGTTGAACTACAAGATTTTGGTGTGTTCAACTGCATGTATTTAGATGCAGATAATGTTGCATTATTATTAGGACGATGTAACACTTTGTATTCAATTCCAGATGACTGTTTTGGAACATGTGGGAATATGAATATAGCACTTGTCTACAACTTATTGGTTTTTTTTGGTTTTTAAAAGTTTCATTTGGAATTCAAAGCACTGTATAGGCCTTTCATACAAATTTGCATAAGTTTGGGCAAAAGCCATGTATGTTTCCATTATAAAAATGCAATGTAATGTGATTGAAATAAGAGAAACTTAACTTTGGAAGGAATATTATTTCTCATCACATAGAAACTTTCTTTTGCACATGTATTCGTGTTTGGAGAAGGGAGAAATACGTCTTATGCACATTTAAAAGCAGAGGTTCTTTATGAATACTAAGATATGAAAGGTGGATGAAAAGTTTTACCCCCTCAGTTATGGCTTTTGTAACAAAATGGATGCGGATATCCATTATCCTTATTTCATTCATAAAGCAATTGCATCACGAAACAGGAGAAAGTTATGATGAAGTGATGAGTTGCTGTTGTCTTTCTGGGCTTCCTAACAGCTAAGAGGATTCTCTTGAACAATGCAACAGTGAGGCAGGACCTGGAGATTTGTTTTATTGATTTAGTTACTTTCATTATCAAAAGTCAGAGTAATCATTGCCAGAGTCCCAAGGCTTCAGTTTGTGCTGTATGTTTCCCTGAACATTACAAAGTAGTAGTAATAAGGTTACGATTACTAATACATACGGATGCTTGAAGCTGTCCTCATTTCTTTTGTATTTAAAAATTAAGCCTGTGACACTACTGCTGTTAGCTGAATGTGGAGTTGACTTTCAGGAATAGTTACAACTATGAAGTCTGACAGTACAAGTTACAAGTATCTGAAGTAATCTTCACAGCCCTAGTCCCATTTTATTTTAGTTTTAAAGGAAGGATGACAGCTCTAAAAAGGCTTGAGTTTAACACCATCTGCTTTTCAGGAAAATATGGTACCACCAGTGGTATTGTGGTGGGTAATGGTGAAAAAGAAACTAGTGCTGTAGGAGGATCTCTTCTCTCTAGATAAGCAGAGGTGATTATCCTAAAAATTCAGAAAAGAAATGGTAGTAACATTTCTGCCAATCAACTCTTGTGAGCTGGGATCTGGAGGTCAAGATGTGGAGGAGAAGAAGGTACCTCTTCTGAATCTGAATCAGTGACACATGATGTTAATATGGAATCAATGCTGCTGTAGATTATCTCTCAAAGTCAGCAGCATACTATAGGCCAAAGGATAGCATATTGTATATTACTTCAGGATTGTACTTGAAGAACATAGCACTACTTTGAGGCCTGGATCTTCAGGGGAAAAGACATTGGATTGATGTTAGAAGTTTAGAGCATCTCTTTAGATACAGTCCAGTTGTTCTTTCTCTTCTGAAACACCAAGCAACTTATGTTGCCAGCTAGTGACAAGGAAGCCAACTTGAAGCTAGTCTGAAGGCATCCTGTGTGGTATGTGCTATTGCGCAGATAATGTCTCTGTACGGCCAGCTGTTCAACATGGTGGAGGATGCTAGATTCCAGAACCAATTCCATTTGATTTACTGTGATTATCAGATTCCCTTAAGCAACTATTTCAGCAGTGGGTGATACCCTTTTTAAGTAAGTGTAGTGGGGGAGAAAGGTCAGAACTGCCGCAAGCAGTAAGTCTAGACATTTAGTCTTCTTTAACCCAGTCTAGCTGAGATTATGTATACATTTTAACTTCTCTTTGTGTACTAGTAGGAGTGGGATGAGAATGGACATGGAAAATAGGTCTAACGTAGTGGTTTATCAGGAATAGTTGTTTGACATCAGTTGTATTCATTCAACTAACTTGGTCCTTGCACTATCTGAGTTTCAAGGGATTGATCCACCTTCTCTACCTTGCCCACTCTCCCTCAATGCTATTGATATGACCCACTTGTTAGCATTGATACTGAACTGTAATGGCCTGTTTGGTCCAACAAAGAGGTAGTCCTCAATTTACGAACATTTAGTGATCAAAATTACAGTGGCATTGAAAAAAGTGATGTGACTGTTTCACACGACTATTGCAGCATGGTCAAATGATCAAAATTTGTATACTTAGGAACTGGCATGTATTTATGATGGTTAAAGTGTCCCAGGGTCATGTAATCATCTTTTGCAACCTTCTGACAAGTAAAGTCAGTGAGGAAGCCATATTCACTTAACAACCATGTTATTAACTTACAGTAACTGCAAGTGATTCACTTAACCCTGGCAAGGAAAGTCACAAAATGGGACAAAACTCACAATTGTTTTGCTTAATAACTGACATTTTGGGCTCAAATGTGGTTGCAAGTTGAGGACTACTAATAGTGAACTGGCTCAGAGGCCCCATGGACTCATAGTGTCCATATGTGCAGCCTGGAGATAATACTGTGTCAATAGATTTCATTGCCCAGATGGAAGAAAAAGAGTATGTTTTCATAATTACTAGGCTAGTGCTTGAGTGCCTGGAGTGTAAGCTATGGTTGATTTTTATAAAAAAAAAAAAAAAACATGTGAGAAAGCTGGATTTCTTATGGATGATTTTAAAAAAAAGCAGGTGGGATTCTGGAGGTAACAATAAAGTTGTGTGTGCTTACAAGCACTACCATTCTTAAGTTCAGACCCAAGTAAGTGTCAATATGTTTTGATCAGGTCAGTTAGCTTATCTTTCTGTGTCGTTCCTTTCAATAAAAATGCTTATACTTTCAGGGAAGGTTATTGCTCTAAATTTCAGAAAGCTAAGTTGACTACTAGGGCTGAAAAATGTCCAGACAGTAGCTAGAAAGCTGCAAACGATTGTAGTCTTTTGTGTCTTTGCTAGTGGTTATATACATTTGTGTAACCTTAAAGGCTTGTTCTGAATCTCACTGTATTCCATCGCTGAAATGCTTGAAAGCATTTTGGGATCTTATTCTGCCAAAGTGTGACCAATCTGAAACTAATATTACTGAAGATAAGTTTTGTTTCCTATTTGTAATGGGACACATGTTCACCAATTGGATAGCTTTGAAAAACAGGTCATTAATTCATTATTTTCTAGTTTTCCATTTAAATTCTGTTTTATGTTACAGTTTTGAATAGTCATTTTCCTTTTCATTTTTTGCATGGAATATTCACCTCTCTTGTCCTGTCCTTATTGAGAGAGATTCCAAGGAGTCAATTTATTCATCAGTTCTTTGGTCTTTGCTATGGTTGTTTGCTCTGCGAAAGCTTCAGTTTACCAGTTTGATTTTATGTTTATTGGTGATAATATTATAAAATGAGCTTATATTAAGATTAGTTTTCCGAGGAACATGCAATATTTAAATATTATCGGTCATGGATACTTAGAAATTGGACAAAGATAATTCAGGCTCCTATCACTCTTTAATTTGACCTCTAACAAATGTAAATCAGTGCATCTTTTCAGTATTGAGGCTTTTCAAACCACCCATTTGTTATGAAAGTGTACCTATTTCAATTCTAAAGGGCAAGTAAAAAGGTGTATATATCTTGTTTAGCTTCAAATGTTTTCTGAAATTTCAGTCAGCCTTTTCTCCCCACCTGATCTGCTGCTTTCTGTCATGTCAGAAGATGAAGTTTTTGCTGCTGCAACAAAAATATCTAGAATATCTGGAGGATGGTAAAGTTTTGGAGGCACTTCAAGTTCTGCGTGGTGAGTTGACACCGCTGAAGTACAACACTGAGCGCATTCACATCCTTAGCGGGTAAGTGTTTTAGACTGAAAATTTATGCATACTTGAATTTAGACCTTTATAGCTGGATGCCAAGCATAGGGCAAGCCTATGGAGATGCTAGGGAGTGAGCTTGTCGGGGAACAATTTGATCCCGTTGGACCCAAGAAAAGGGGCAGAGACTTTTGGACTGTAGTGCCCCTAGTGAATTAGATACATGTCCCTCTTGGCTGGCCGAAACAGCTTGGGAGGTCACAGTTTTCAAGTGATGGTGAATTCATCCTTGATGGAGGTGGTGTTTCCAGCTTCTTTTAAAGAGGTACTGATGTACCTTCTTCGCAAGAAGCCATCAGTGGACTCTACCATTCTGGACAATTTTTATCCCAGAAAGTTGGTAGCCTTGCAAATGCAGAGAATCCTTGATTACCTGAATCTCTTGCAATTGAGTTTCAGGCCGGGATATGGAACTGAAACAACTTTGGTTAAAGTTTTGGTTGATTTCTGGCATGGGGGTTGTGCATCCATCCTTGTTATTCTTGACAGATTTTGATACCATAAACCATGATATCCTTGGTCCAACTTAGGAAGTTGGAAGTGGAGGGGCACAATTTTGTGCTTGTTCATCTCCTTTTGAGGCCAGTACCAGGTGTATTGATTGAGAGCGAGAGGTCCAGACTTCCCACAGCTTCTTTTTTGTGGGATTCTGCAGGACTCTGTGCTCTTTCCATTTCCATGTACTTGAAACCACTGGGAGAGATCAACTCTCATGACAGAATGAGGTATCATCAGTATGTTGATAGTACTCAATTATATATCTTCATCCCAGGTGAATTAAGTAATGCTGTGGGTGTTCTTTTGCGGTGCGTAGAGACTATAAGGCTGGATGGGGAAGAACAGACTTTCACAACCTTGGAAAAACAGAATGGCTATGGGTAGGGGGCTCCTCAATATTCAGGGGTTTATCATGTTTGATCTTGGATGAGGTTACACTGTGAACAATCTTGGGGTCCTCCGGGATTCATGATTCTTGCTTGATGTGTAGGTGGCAGTTGTGGCTGAAGTGGGTGGGTAGGCTTTGCTCAGCTTCATGTTGTGCACCAGTTATGCCCCTCTCTGGACCAGGAAGTACTTGTTTCAATCATTCACATTGATTACATACTTGAATTCCCTTTTCAGTTTTTTAGGTTTTTTTATACTACTTTAAACTACTTAGATGATAAATGTATTTAAACATTGCACATTAAACTTTTTCCTCATATATTAAAGCATGATTAAGATTCAGGCCTGTGTTAAACAGCTCCTTAAGTAAATCAGTCTCTTGTTTCTGACGAAATAGAAGCTGTACCCTCAGCATTGATTAATATCAATTCAGTATATAGTTCCAGAATGCTTAATCCTTGTGTTTCTGTTCAATAAACAGATATCTGATGTGTAGTCATCCAGAAGACTTGCGTACTAAAGCAGAATGGGAAGGAAAAGGAACAACTTCTAGATCTAAACTTTTGGACAAGCTCCAAAGTAAGAAAAAATAGTTTCAAAAGGACACATGTATCCCTGTCTAGATTTCCAGCATATTTCATTCTGAACAGACAAATGTTGATCTGAAAGTACAAATTCATGAGATGATTTGTACCCGTGAAGGGGGTGGTGGTGTGATAGACTACAATGAAGTGATAGTTTCCCCAGAAGGAGGGAGCATATTCCAAGCGGGGAGAGGAACAAGACAAGAGGCAATGCAGTCTAGAACTGGATCGGAGGAAGAGAATTAGGATAGCCACTCCTTAAAATCTCTCAAAATATATATGTGAGATGAGAGTAGTATAGTAGTATATCTGTTTTGGAGAGTTGGGAGATTCTTGGGCAGATTGGGATGTATTAGAGACTAAAGGGTGCAGTGAAGAAGAAAATGCCATTATGTGAAGAGAATCTTACTCACAGAATGATAATGTTTAATTTGTTATCTAGCCGTTTTTGGCTTAAATAAGGTAAACATGTATGTGGAAAATGTACTTCACAAATTCATTTTTTTAAAAAATGAATTGATTATACTGAAATTGCTTTTTTATTTATTTAAGCTTACCTACCCCCATCAGTGATGCTCCCACCAAGGCGTCTGCAGAATCTGCTACGTCAGGCTGTAGAGCTACAACGGGACCGGTGCCTCTATCACAATACTAAACTTGATAACAATCTAGAATCTGTATCACTACTCATAGACCATGTTTGCAATAGGTGAGAGATTTTTTTTTTTAATTTTAAGAGCAATGGTAATACCTTTTAATGCAATAAAATTACTTTTAATTTTAAACAATTAAAAGTAATTAACTTGTGATGGTTGATTTATTTTTGGTTCTACGCAAGTAAGTATTCAGGGTGGCTAACAAGAATATAAAAATTTAGTGTTTTAATTTATATTCAGTTTAAAAATTAAACATTGTATATTTTTGTTTGAGTATGTAGTAAATGGAGGGAAAACATTTTACCGACACAGTTTACTTCTTGAAGAATATTGCATTTTTACAAATGTACTTAGGTTCAGCTTGCAAGCACAATAATAAAGTTGTAGAATTACATAGGTTTGATATCCTGATTCACTGACCATAAGATATTTGTTAACCACATTTATCTGAAATATTAAGAATGTCTGAATTCTGCCTATTGCAGAAAGTTGTGATTTTCACTTAGAGCTAATAATGGTCTCCTGTAATACTAAGTTAGAAGTGAGTTTCACTTAATGGAGCTGACTTCCATCAAACAATATGACAAAAACTTCAGAAAAAGATTTCAATTTTTTAAAAAGGAGAATGGTAACATGAATGGCAGTTCTTCACACATTTAATATGCATTATGTTAAATCCTATTGAACTCAGGAAGATCCAGGCAGCCTTGCTGTATGCAGGATTGCAAGAATAGATTCCTCTATCAGACTTTAAAGTGGTAAGTTAGAAATGAAGCTTGGAGGACAAGGCTTTATTTCAGAAATTCTCAATTTTCAAAATATATTTAAGAATTCTTTCTATAAATCTGAAAAATCATAAAAATAAATCTGTGAGGCTAGTTTTGCAGTGAGGGTTGAGTCTGGTCAATAGAGAAATGCAAAACATTTGAAAGACCACTCTGCAAAGTGTAGGCAACACACCAAAACCTCAGATCTTTCTCTGGTCATATCTGCATGCCTAATTACTTTATTTTGCAGTCTCAGCAGTTGCATTGACAGACATGCACAGATAATCTGAGAAGGGCCACAAAGTTGTTGTTTTAGTGTCTGGAGCATGCAGCTGCTTCAAAGAGGAGTGTTTTACTCATGCAACATGGTTTGCAAAGTGTTCTTTCAAATGCATTGGACAATCCTACTGCTCCAAATCGAGGTCATACTTGTTTTCATATTTTCAGGATGTTGATTCAGAGCTCATGTTAAGAGTCATGACTTGAGGTGAGGATAGGAAGGTTTATAATAACATACTCATGCATTTTCAACAACCGATTTTGAAAGTTGATTATATTTTTAAACTAATTTATCTTGCATCCTGAGAGGCTGTCTTTGAAACAACTACAGTTTCATGGCCCTTGGATCCTGGTCATATTTGGCATTCCCCATATCTATCTCTGCATAAAGAGATAGTATGGCAAGTAGGAAAAAAAATAAGATAGGAGATAGGAAAACAGGACATTTGATAAGAAACATTTATAATGTGTGTTTTTTCTATTGTGCATGCAATAGTAATCATTTGCCTGATGCTAATATGGATATTTATAGTGGTGAAAGCATATTTGTGAACCTTTAGTACTATCTGCAATCCTGAAGTATTTGGCCTGGAGTATAATTAAATCTTCATCTAAGTCTACATCTGTTAATTAAACAGATATAGGATAAAATAATGTATGGTCTCATATCTCCATTGTACACATTGAACTGATATTCACTATTATGGGAAAAACATGTAAAACACTAATATAATCAGCTCTCTTAAATGGATCAGTGGAGTCCGATTGTTATTGATTGATTAGATTTATAGGGCCATCTAACTTGAACAATGCGACTGGGCAGGATACAACAAAACTTCTAATCAGCGAGATTATCAGATGTGATTTTGAAAGTTTCCCCATTAAACGCACACAAACACACACACTCACAAAATTATTCTGGCCTTACCTTAAGTGGGCAGTTTATGCAAGATAGCTTAAAATGTAAATAAGGACTGAGCAATATAATTATATATTTATGTATAGTTTCTATAGCTGCTCCATCTCAATCCATAATTCTAGGTGTCTTACAATTCCAAAACTATAAAAACAAAACAATAAAAAACATTTTAAAAACACCAAAATATATTTCCAAAATGATGTTCAAGATTGATTAGTTGGTACAAGAAGCATTGGGCTGAAGTCATTATTGCTAAAGGAAATGCCATCAATTATTTTTTTTAATATAAATTTTATTTGGGTTTTCACAAAAAAACAAAAACAAATAAAACATCTTTCTTTGAGAATAGCCTGATCAAGGGTTATCACTTCTTCATACAGACACAAACTCAATTTCATGTTCATCTTTGTATTCTATTCCATGTCTTATTACTATTTAACATTTTCTACGTAGTTTTTCCCCTCCCTTGATTTTCTCAATTTTTTTTTTAATTATCTCATATCTCAATTCAAATAATTATATTTGTACTTTTTGTCTGTCCTGTTTCAATTTCATATTATCTTTTCTCATTAAACAAATTTTCCCCTGTAGTTACTAATTTGAGTATGACATCTTTATATCTTTTAATTTTATCCATTCAACTCTTATTTGAACTTCAATTTATACCTTTAAAATTATAGCAATCAATATAATACATAACTTCCAATTGAATTCTGCTTGGTACATTCTTAAAGTACACGCTATATTCTTAAAAAAAATTATATATATGTAAATAAAACACTCATTCCATTCCAAATCAATTCTATCATTAATATTCATTAAAATCTTAACATCTTTTTCTTTTCAATTGAATATCATACTTCCTTGTGAACACTTATAAACTTTCCATAATTCTTTTTTTTTTCATATTTCTCTTCACTTCTATTTTTATAAATCATTAATAATAATTAAAATGTTCCCATCCTTTCCTAATTTCATTCTCTCATTCACTTTCATTTATTCAGTAAACAACCACCCGATTGATTTTAGTCATTTAAATGCAATAGCCCAAAATCCATAAATCACCAAATAATCCAAAGCTGTTTCTTCTTGCTTCTTTTTTCCACTTTCTCTTCCTGGGGTTCTATTATTTTGTTACAAAGTTTCAGTTGAAGTGTATCTTTTAGGAATCTTCTTAAGATTTCACTGTAAATTCCTTTTAGTTCCAGGCAGTCTCCTCCATTTTTCCAGATCCTGCCCTTTTATTCTTTTTCTCTCCCTTCCTGCTTTTAAAAGTTTTTAAATATCCAAAAAGCTTTATTATCCCTTTGACATTTTATTTTCAGCTTAAATGCCCATTAATGTCAGTGTGGATTTTTCTCAATCTCTTAATTAAGTCTCTTAGTTGTCAGTATAAGGAAGGGAGGAAGAAAAAAAAAACCCAAATCCTTTCCCTCTCCTCTCTCCTTTTCAAAATCTTCTTTGGGAACAATGTTATTTTTATATTTTAAATTCCAGGGTACCTTACGTTGTTGCTTTTGCGGTTTAAGCCGGTCAGCCAAAACTTTCTCTTCTTATCTTCCTCCTGCACTTTCTTTTCCGGTTGAGTTCTTCTTTGAGGTGGCCATTTCTGACCACTGCTGCAACTGCCTTTGGGAAAGGGAGTTGGGCCAGCTGGGGAGGAGAGATGTGGCTCTCCTCGACCCTGCTGGCAGTCTCCCCCCTCTTCACCTCTACGGGGTGGCTTAGCCCCGAAACCAGCCGGCACTGGGTGCTCCGGCAGCAAGCATGGATCAAAACCGTGCACGATCGCGGATTTCGGTCCATCACCAAAGGAGCTCAAACCGGAAGTCAGGAAATGCCATCAATTATTAAATCTGATGCATTGCATACTTTTTTTTCAAGAAGATGAAGTTGGTTCAATATGTTCAGTGGAGACATGATACTCTATGCTTTCTTATGCATTGTTTAATTAAACTCTTTATTGATGAATAAGAAACTGTAGGTCAGGGTACAAGATGATGGATTGTTCTAAAAGTTCACAAACTTTTGGATTCTATTGTTCACATAAAACTGATACTTTTTCTACATGTTTGTTTTTTAGGAAACATTTTCCATGTTATACTCAGCAGATACTTACAGAGCACTGTAATGAAGTATGGTTCTGTAAATTTTCCAATGATGGCACTAAACTAGCAACAGGATCCAAGGATACAACTGTTATTATATGGCAGGTTGACCCTGTAAGTATTCTACATGGCAAACTGTTTCCATAAAATTAAATGCTTTTTTCCTCAGTTTGATTTCTATTTAGTATGTCATTTGTAAATACCTTGGTATAGTTCTGTTTGCATGCATTTTTGGCTTAAGTCTTATATCACTTGTTTAATTTATTTGTTCTTTTATATGGAAAATAAAGTCCAATAAAAGGTATGCAAACTAGCTACAATTTGAATAACTGCAATATTCTGTCTCGGTTTCTTGTATAAAACAAGAATATGAGCATTCTTTATGATTTGGTG